TATGTTTATTGCAAATTAAATAGTAGATAGTTCTGAACCTTACTCATATAAAATGTTTGTATGTTCAAAACATGATCAAGATATATGTAAAATTTGAGGATAATAAACTGAATATATGTCTCTTGAAACTAAGCCTTAAGTTATTCAGATTGTACAAGGCATAATCTTTTTCACTTATCTCGATTAAGTATCCTAAAATGTATTAAGAACGAGTGCTAAATATATATGAGTGAATTCTGGAATTGAATCTTTTATTTTTTTAATATACTGGGGATCCTGATTATCTGAAATCGCGTAACTAAATAACTTACTTATAAGTTCAACAGTTCACATTTAACTTATTAGTCATCGTGATAATTAATTTTGTCGTCGTTCACTCATTTTTGGACTGTGTAAATTAAAGGATTTTTTTTGTTAAAACGTTATGGTGTTCTCAGGTGGTAGGAGTGATATTTTGTAGAAAAAATCTAGAGGTCATAATTGTAGGACTTGAAGATGTTTATTCAATTTCGCATGCTGTCAAACTTTTCCTTTAGACCTCAGGCTTAAAACACTTTATTTAGGACCCATTCCCTTGAGCTAATAATGAATACTAATATGCACTCATATATATTCTATTTTAGAGATCTTATTACTGGGTATGATTTTTTTTCTCGCATTTTTATTTTTAAATAACGTAAAGTAGTAGAAAGTATCCCTGTTTGCTTGATTTTCCCTTAACTCATATTATAAATCATTACTTCCCTTTAAGAATCATTTTTATGTAGTATGCTACTGTTTTCAAGCTTCTAGGTTGTTGCAGATAGACTTGTCTTGTGTGTTCCATTTTTGTATATCACAGACTTAAATTCCTTCCCCTAATTTTCTTTTCCTTTTCCCATTCTCTGTATGTACATTTTGGAGCAAATGGAGTCTTAATTCAAGACTCTAGCAGTGGAGTCTCATAGAGACTCAACACTACCCGAGCATGGAGTCATCACATCCTACACCGTCTTTCTTAGAATGCACCAAATAGCAAGAAAACAAGCGAAACGCTTGGGGGCACCTATGGCGTTCTTCTTTTAATTCTTTTGCCATTCATTTTATCTAACTTTTGTGATTGTCAATTTGCTTGTGTATTTGGGTTTTATCTCAAGTTTGGATGTAATTATTTAGTGTAACGACCTGACCTGTCGTTTTAAGCATTTTTATCCCGTCAAGCTATTTAAAGTCTTCAGTAGCGTCTTTTTGTGTATTATGACTTGCGATAGTGGTCAAGTTTTGTTTTCAGATGATTCAAAATTTAATTGAAGGAACAATCCATGTTTTGGAAGCTTAAGTTGAATAAATGGACCGGAAAGTGAAATATGTGTAAATGATCCCGGAATGGATTTTTGATGATTTCAATAGCTCCGTAAGGTAATTTCGGGCTTAGGAGTATGTCCGGATATTTATTTCGAGGTTCGTAGCTAAATTAGGCTTGAAATGGCGAAAATAAAAAATTTAAGTTTGGAAGTTTGACCGGGGGGTTGACTTTTTGATATCGAGGTCGGAATCTAGTTCCGAAAATTTTCATAGCTTCATTATATTATTTATGACTTGTGTGCAAAATTTGAAGTCAATCGGACTTGATTTGATATGTTTTTGCATCGAATATAGAAGTTGGACGTTCCTAGTTCATTATGCTTGAATTGAGGTGTGATTCACGGTTTTAGCGTTATTTGATATGATTTGAGATTTCGACTAAGTTCGTATGATGTTTTAGGACTGGTTGATGTATTTTGTTGAGGTCTCGAGGGCCTCGGGTGGATTTCGGAAGGTTAACGGGTAGAAAAAAGTTGTTGAAATTCTCTTTGGGCAGCTGCTGCCTTTTTTTACAGCATCATGAATAGTCCCGTGAACAATGCCCATGAACATCCCGTGAGCAGTGCCCATGAACAGTACCCCATGAACAGTGCCCATGAACAGTACCCCGTGAACCGTGCCCCGTGAACCGTAAAAAACGCGTGAATAGTACCCCAAATTTTGGACAGATTATAGGACAATCAGTCCGGGTTTCTTCACATTTTTTTTGATTTTCAAGCTTGGATTTTGGTAATTTTGAGCGAGAAATCATGAGAATTTTTGAGGTAAGTCCCTTGTGATCATTGTTAGTCAATATTATTGAATTATTATTGAATATCCTGGCTAGATTACGTATTTTTGAGGTATAAATCGCGAATTTGGGCATAGGGATTTGAAAATAAGATTTGATGATTTGGAGGCCGAATTGTTGTCGAATTTTGGTAAAATTTATATGGTTGGACACGTGGTTGGATGGGGGTTCATATTCCGTAATTTTTTTCGGGTTCCGAGACCATAGGCGAATTTTAGTGTAATTTCGGATTTTTAATAAAAAATGTAGAATTTCATATGGAATTAATTCCTATATTTTTTATTGACTGAATCGAATTATGGTGGCTAGATTCGAGGCATTTGGAGATTTATTTGAGAGGCAAAGGCATTGCAGAGTAGGATTTTGCTCGGATTGAGGTAAGTAACGGTTATAAATCTGGTCCTGAGGGCATGAAACCCCAGATATTATGTCGTATGACTATTTTTTTGAGGTGACGCACATGCTAGGTGACGGGCGTATGGGCGTGCACCGTAGGGATTGTGACTTGGTTCGTCCCGTGAGACTGTGGAATCAACTGGCCTATTGTTTAATATATGTTTCCTCTGTTTTTCATGGAAATTGACTGTACTTCATGTTAGAAATCATGTTAGGCCTTATGTGATCATTGGTGAGACCTGAGAGGTCGTGTACTTGCTGAATTAGCTGCTAGTTGTTGTTTTGTACTAAGTCATAGCTTTTCTTGTTTATTATGCCCTTGTCTCTTGCTGTTCATTGTTGATACATGACATTACTTTTGTTTGGGCTATTTATATGATTTCCGAGAGCCTGGGAGACTGGAGAGATGGTTGACTGAGTGAGGCCGAGGGCCTAATTGTGAGGTTATTGATACTATAGCACGTGAGTTGTCCGTGCGAATTCAGATATTTTATTATAGCACGTGAGTTGTCCGTGCAGCACGTGACTTGTCCGTGCGGATCCAAATATTTTATTATAGTACGTGAGTTGTCCGTGCAACACGTGAGTTGTCTGTGCAGTTTATAGCGCTTGGGTTGAAGGAGCCCCTCCGGAGTTTGTACACCCCCAGTAAGCGCAAGTACCTATTGAGTATGATTATTGAGGGCTGAGAGCCGTGTGATTGAGCTATTGAGATGAGATGAGTGACTGTTACCTTGAGAGGCCGTTTTTGTTTTCAGTTAATTACTGAACTTAGTTGCTATTTGTTCTTGTCATACATATTTCTCGAATATTCGATATCTGATTTACTTGAGTATGCCCTGATGAGACTTAAACTGTTAAATTGAAAGTTATTGAGATAACTGTATTTGCATAGCTCGTCACTAATTCTCAGTTCCTTATTTATTTCTGTTACTTACTGAGTTGGTGTACTCACGTTACCCCTTGTACCTCCTGTACAGATCCAGGCACTTTTGGTCACGGGTTGTTGATTGAGGAGTCAGACTCAGGAGACTATTGAGGTAGCTGCATGACGTTCGCTAACCTTGACTCTCCTTTCCTTTCATGTTGTACTGTTTTATATTTCAGACAATGTTTTATTAGTCTGATATTGTTATCAGTTAGATGCTCATGCACTCAGTGACACCGGATTTTGGGGATGGATTGTTTAGTACTTTTGGAGTTATATTCTATTTAAAAAGGTTTTTATTTAATATTAACTGATTCCGCCCTTATTGAAAATTTCTACTGTGTTGAGATGTTGAGTCGAGGCTTGCCTAGTACCACGATAGGCGCCATAACGACAGGTGAGGTTTTGGGTCGTGACATTTAGGTTCTTTGCTATACTTATATCACATAGGATACGATAATTAGAATAAGGAATCTAAGATCGATAATCTTATAACTTTCTTTTCTTATTAACTATTCATTTTCTAGGAAGCTTAACACTATGCTTCAGACACCTTTTATAAGGAGTCAAACGGGTTTCAAAAGAATAAGCTAAATACTGTTAGAAGTGTATATGCAAAACAATTTTTACCAACTCTCTTAGTCTATCTTTGAAAATAGATTCTTATTATCATCTTTGAAGCTACATTTTGCCAAGCAATTCCACACATATTTCTTTTTACAAGAAAAGAAAAATATTATTTGTAAAAGTTACTTTTCAAATATAGATAGTTACTCGGCTAACATACTTACTGGTCTTGTCCCATTTTGATCATTTAAATATTGACGGTCAATTATAAGTTTTTACAACACTTATAAAGAGGCCTTGGCTGATCCAGTTCACTTGTTAAGTCATTTTTACAAATTACCACTAATGGAAAATAAACCTATGACAACGCATAGACAACTGTTGCCATAGAGCTATCGCAACGTTTTTGCGTCCGTCTAACTAGGTCGCGTTGCAGTAGCTCTACTGCAACGGTTTCGAAAACCGTTGCCCTATAGCAATTTATTGCAACGGTTATTTATCATTCTACTGTGACGAGTATTTTCAATCAACTAGAACGGTTCAAAGGCGTTGCAATATATGTTTGTGTAACAGTTATTTTTTCTATTGCAACGGTTAAGTTAGGATATTACGACGATTCTTTGCCGCTTTTGCAACGGTTTAATTACTATTGCTACGGGTTCTTTACAGTAACAATCTAATAGGTTCTAATGCAACGGTGTGCGTTATCTATTGCAACGGTTTATAGTACCTATGGCAATGGTTTAGTTTACCTACTGCAACGGTTACCTATCATAGCAACAGTTTACATGGTTAATTGAGACCGTTTTTGTTACCTATAGCAACGGTTGAGATAAGCTATTGTAACGGTTTAATTGAACCAACAATATACTCCCTGATAGTAAATAAATATTTACATTAAATTATAATACACAATAATTTATATAAATCACAAAATAAAACTAATCATAAACATTTACAATCCAAGTTGTAATATCCATAAAAGCAAAATATTAGAACCCATGTACATAAGTTTAATAATCCAAAAGTTAAGAACCAAGTACATAAGTTTTACAATCCAAAAGTTAAAGAAGTTTCAAAATGTTTGATAACAAAAGATTCCTAGAACATTTAGAGTTTCAGCAACAATCCAAAAATCTTCTTAAGCAGGATCTTCATTCCTTTAATCTTCCCTTTCTTCATTTTCTCCATCTACAAAAGAGGATAAATAAAATCATTATCTCTTTAAATGCTAGTTAACCATTCAAAAACAAATGAAAGGTCAAGTCTTTTAAAGGATTTAAGAATACCAGACACACAATTTTTTTTTGACATTATTATGAGCACTGCATTATTATGAAGTGAAATCTAAACTAGTTACCTCTCCATTTCTATAAAGGACGCTGGACATCGCACGTGTAGTGAAATTTTTAACAACTACCTAAAAGACCAATTATGAACTACCAGATGCAAGATAAGTCTCGAAATGTTGAATTTACATGAAAATATATTAACTTTCTATCGTTACCCATTCTAGTTTAGTTGACCAAGAAGTATACTTAGAAGGAGTAGAACCAATCAAATGGAGATAAGTTGCTTTCTCGCTCTGTTATGCATAGTAGACTAGCAGAGTTAGACTAAAATCTAAATGACCAATTCTAGCAAATGAATTCACATGCCAAATTGCTGATTCTACATGTCACTCTCGTTGTAAACTTGCTGCATCTACATATTGGAAAATCTTTCCACATAATCAAACAAAAAAACTGATCGATAGCTGAAGTAGACGTGGCAGACTGTGGACATTGCTAGATGGCTTACAATGTTAAATTTCAGGCCTACTGAACTTCTTTCCATAGAACCAGGGGCGGATGTACCTTAGGCCAAGTGGTGTCACATGACATCGCTTGGTCAAAAAATTATACTAAATATGTATATTTAATTAAAAGGAAGAAACAAATATGAGGATAAATAAAATAAAGTGACACCACTTGACACAAACAAGACATCTATATTCAACTTGGCTTTAACAATATCATCAAAGAAAGTCATGTTGAAGATAGGAAAGCATGAAATCAAAAAAGATGCGTGAGTAGTCTGCCTCTGTGTGTTGTGAATGACAGAAGAGAATCAGAGGTGGAGCATATGAGATATGGGTGTAACTGTGTGGCTTGTAACATCAAAGAAATTAAGATTGGTACCTCATTTTCTTTGTTGCTGCTTATGAGTGGCCACAAGAACTGTCTGCAATGCATTGGATGTGGGTGGCCTGTTGTCTTCTTCTAAAGTCTGTACATGGCATGTTGGACTGGTGGCATTTCCAAGCAGATGTTGGTCTAATTACATGTTTAGAGAGAAAATTAAGTACTAGATATGGTTTTTACTACTTGAATTTGTCAACTAGTTCACATAAGCACATTGATATCCTTCATATTTCAAGTAGTACATGGCCAAAAAGGAATTCCTTAAGAAATAATTTCAGCACTCAAATGAATAAAGAAAAGAACATATTGCATGATGTCCAATAAAGCTGAAGTGCATAAAATGACAACTTGAAACAGAATAATATCCGAAATCGACAAGAAGTACCCCAGATAATTAATCAAATATCAGAAAATTAAGATCTCATTGCCAAATAGATACTGAAACTGAACACACTATAAATTCCAGAAATAAAATAAAAAGAAAGATACCAACAATTAAGATTAAAGAGATACATTTTTATCATCTTCTCATGGGACAAGCGGTGGTCAAAAGCTAATCACTCCATTAAGCTTAACATTTTTTTCCATTTCTTCTCTCTTTTGGCTTCAAAAATAACAAACATAAGTTCATCTAAGGAAGTTCTGTTAAGGTTGTTTTCACTGTTTTCTAATAGTTTTTGAGATTTAAGCTTCATTTCCTGATGTGTCCCAATTATTAATAATATTCAATCCAGAAATAAAAGAGAACGACAGCAACAATGTGTAAAGAAGAAGAATTATTAAAATACTGCATCCAGAGATGCAGTATTTTGCAATAATTAAGTACACACCTTGATTAGTACTGCCAGTAGATGGACGATTGATTAGTTGAATTGCAACTTGTTGTGCAGAGGAAGCTTCTCCGAGTGAACGACCACCGAATGCTAGCATATTAGGATCAATTCGTAAATCTGGGTTAATATGCTGAAGTTGTGCAACAACATTAAGTGTAATTTGTTGCTGCCAAGTTTCCTGTTGTTCCTCGAAGTTTTTCTGCATCCTTTGTTGCATTCTCTCTTCCATTTCCTTCATTTTTTGCTCCATTATCTCATCAGTAGTCTTTGAAGAGGGTCCAGAATTTCCAGATTTTTGTTTCAAGATAGTCTTTGTAACCCCACGACCATACAATCTTACACGACCTGGATATTCAGGTCCCATGACTGTTGCAAATGCATCAATTGATTGGTTATCATCTTCACTTTCTTGAGTTTGTATTTGCTCCATTTCAGCCTACAAATAAAATTTAAGAGAAGAAAATACAAATAAATAAAACTGAGTTAACAATTAGGACCAAAAAGATAATCTTGACAAGATTTAAAGTAGAACTCTTTGTACAATTTTGCGCATTGTATCTTCATATGATTCCTTGTATACTCGACCGGGTTTTCTTGATCTCGTAGCCACAAACATGTCCTTACTTGATGGTTCCTCAGAAGTTTCCTTCTTTTTTTTTCTAGTTACATGAAAGTCAGCATAAAAATTTTACTAAGTAAGGTTAAAAAGTTCATATTAATGAAAAATAAGAGAAAATACCGAACCTCGCGGATTGTGGCAAAACTTGTTTTGCCAGCAGTGTGTGAATTCTTTAACTTTTTTCGATTCTCATTATTAGTTTTCGAAGTTTGCTGCAACAAGTAAGCTTTTATGTTAAACATCTAATACATTCCTGCCTTGTGCATTTTGATAATCTAAAAAGTGTTGGACACAAAGACAAGACGGGGAATGAACTTCAAAAGAATTACTCATTCTCTTTGTCCAAAATCAAGTTTACTGTGTCTATAACTTACCTGAGCTTTATCAGACTTCCAGTATTCAAGAAGGTACTTAAACTCAGATTCTGAAACATAGGAAGGCTTTTTTTCCATTCGAAGTTCGTCATTGGCATAGGCTTCATAGTAGTTTTTCTTCAACCAACACTTATAGCATGCAATCTTGAAGTCCCACAAACAGAACAAGTATCAGCCTTCGCATTGTCATTCCAAACTAGCATGCAATCATTAGGGCATGCATGTATTTTTTCATAATGAAGACCCAAATCTCTTATCATGTTTATAGCCTTGTTAACCGACTCTGGTAGTTGAGCAAAGGGAAATGCCTCTTTTATCAAGTCCAGCATGTCTGAAAATGCTACATTACTCCACCCATGCAAGGATTTAGGCAAGTATAGCCGAATGGTGAAACTTAGTTTAGTAAAATTTTCACACCCAGGATATAACTCTTGTTTTCCCTCATCAACCAATCTAAAAAATTTCTTTGCATCTTCAGATAGTCCCTCTTTCACTCCTTCTTCATGCCTTGACTAACCCTTTATATTTCTAAATGTATCATGAAGTAGTTNNTTACCTGGGAAGCTCGTTCAAATGCCTTATCAAGAAAAGTATTTACTCCACGAATATACTCATCCGTCCATCTTAGGAGATTCATCCAACTTTTATCTCCATAATCCATTTAATTCCTATAAGATATTAGTAAATCACCAAAATTAAGATTTATGTTAAGCTAAGTTACAAAAAAATTAAAGAGAACTAATGTTATCAAATAAACCATGATCAAGTACTCTGTTAATCTAGGATTCAAGGATGGCGATTTAGTTCTCATCAATATATGTAACCTTTAAATCTTTACAAACTATAAGTATTCTACAAGCAAATAAGATCCTTTCACTGTAATGCATATGCATATAAGGGGTTTAACCAATAAACCACTTTTACAGATATAAAAAATGATCTGAACAAACAAGATCTCAATTTAAATTACACAAATAATTTCCTGCTCACTTTTTCTATAAGTAGCACCATATAGATATAGCAATTAGAGTGTGTTTTTTGTAAGTAGGATGTAGAAGTTTGGTATGTTTCTTTACTGAGGCCCATCTATGTATGAAGTGCTCTCACAAAACAGATACCTAGCTTTTACAAACAAATAAATTGACTTACCATCAAACAATTTAAACCTACATCTAGAATAAAAGTGAATATTTTTCATAAACTAAATACAAGTAACGATCTAATAAAATAGAAGCAGATACTCCCTACATCCCAATTTTAAATCAGACGACACCGTGCACTTCTATGTACTTAATAAGTACCAGCACCTGATTAGAACCTTTCAATTTCCCTTTTCTTTTTTCCTAATATGTGATGTTGCTATTATTGACGAACACAAGAGCAGAAGAGTAAGGGGAAAAACGTGATACATATTTGAACAAACACATTGAACAAAAGTTTGGAATATATTATCTCTTCTAAAATATTCAAACATTGCTATCATGGAACACACATCTACAAGAGAAAAAGAAGGCTGAAATTTTTTACTAGTACCTGAGTTTGCACCAAATTAATCAAAAAACAATACATGTATCTTTTACATTCACTAATTAATTAATGTATCTTTTTACCAATATATTATTAAACTATAGTAGTTTTTTTTAAGAGAAAGAATACAAAGCTACAACAAAACATGAGCAGATCTAAAAAGGGGCAGTTTTTTTTCCTTCTATGCAAGCATCATATATTTAGTTTATTGCAACTAAATAGAACTAACAGATACATTCTTATCTTGATCCACATGAACCACATAAGTTAAAAGCAGTAAATAATGAAACCCTTTTACCCTGTACCTAAAAAATGGAAAATGATTCCTTTTTGTTTTGAAAGAACAAACGATTCAAAGCCTAGCATACCAGTTTCGGTTCAAATCATAAATCTAAAGCAACATATACACCACTGATACCCAAAAGACTAAAGAATAAAGAAAACCAATATATCTAAATAAGAAAATAAGAACTTACAACTTCTTCAGCTAGCGATTTCTCACAGTGTGCCTTTTGGAAAAATAATTTCTCGCGATTGAAGCTAACTGAGAAACTAATTATGTGAACACGCTCAAGGAATCGATCTTTTCCGGAGAAACTGCCAACAGAAAACTCGCTTCTAATTGTAGTTACTGAATAAATTAAAGACTCTCATAAAGAAAATGCATATAAAATTAAAATAAAAAAGTAAGACCACCAATTTGTGTGCATGCAAACAAAAATCACAAAGAAAAATGAAAATCTGAAACTAGCCAAAAATAGGAAAACATACGCTGATGGTAGAAAGAGATCCCAACCTTTTTGTCTCTGCGAATACACTTTGCAAAATCTCAACTATTGATTTCTAACTGATTTTGAGACCCCACGATTCTGCTACTTTATGAATCTATTGGGTATTTAATTTTACAAAGCTAAATTCCACCCATAGCTAAGAACCCTCATTGCAGTGTTTATGTTACAAATTTGGATGAGAGAGAGCGAAATTGGGAGTGAAATTGGGAGGAGATGAAATTGCGAAATAATTAGCGTGAGTTAGGGAGAGAGGAAGTGGGTTTAGGGTCTGATAGAGTACATGTTGTTTAGGGAATGAAAAAGCTGATATTTTATATTTTCAATAAGAAATAAGAGTAAAAAAAATATTAAGGAAAAGATTTTGGCGGGTTTGGCAAAATAGAAGAGGGAAAATAAGGAGGGAACCCATAACCGTCCCTATAGGTAATTTTCCCCAACACCGTGCCAATAGATACAAATATTGCAACGTTTGTAACAACCGTTGCTACAGTAAGATCTATGGCAACGGTTCCTGTACAATGGCAACGGGTAGATTATTAAAGAGTAGCGAAATCCTCCAGCCCTTTTGGCAACGGTTTTAACCGTTGATATATATAGTGTATGGCAACGGTTCTGTTACCGTTGCATAAATGTTCATTGCCACATGCCCTATTTCTAGTAGTGTACTATTTTAAGTAACATGCGCATATATTAGTTATAAGCTACTTTCTTTAGATACCCAACACCTAAATGATGTACTTATATATATACCTTAGACTTAATTAACCTAAGTTTGGTCGGTTAACTGTAATTAACGGATCACATAGGGTGCTTTTACAACCTTCCCTATAGGATTAAGTAGAACTCTTACCTAGAATTTTTAAGGTTAAGCAGACCATAAAAACAGAGTTAATTTTAAGCATTACTTAGCTATAATTGGTGTCCTAATTCACCGTTAAAATAATTAGGTGGCGACTCTCTTTAATTAATTAAACCTTCAGAATTACCAATATGTTATATTCTAGATTTGACCCGTGTTAAAACGGGGTATAACACATGTAACTCAGTGTGATTCAGTATTTCACTATCATGTATTGCAATATGATTCTCAGTTCCTAATTATAAATCCCTGATTGTTGAACACCTGTATTTGGGCCTGAGGCCGCAGTTAATGCTTTATGCATATTTGGGCTAGAGGCTGCAGTTTATGCTTTTTGCATCTTTGGGCCTGATACCGTAGTTATGTATACGTATACTTGGGCCTGAGACCGCAATTGTGCACATATATATATTGGCCCTGAGGCCGCAGTTTATTTATTTAGATAAACATGTTGTTCATCATTCAGAAGATGGAGTATTCATATTTTTACTTCCTTTGTTCAATTCAGTTATCAGTTATCATTTCAGTTATCAATTATCAGTTATTATTTTAGTTATCAGTTATCAATTATCATTTTAGTTTCAGTTTGAATAGTTATCATTTCAGTTATCAATTATCAATTCTCAATTATCAGCTCAGTATCGGTTTCAACATTTATAGTTCTTTCTTTCAGTTGCTTTACATACCAGTGCAATTCAAATGTACTGACATCCCTTTTGCCCGGGGCCTGCATCTCACGATGCAGGTAATGATTTACAGGTTGACAATTCAGAGCGGTAGGATTCTCGTACCAGCTATTTGGTGATCCTTAGTTCTTTCGAGGCATTATCATTACCTTACAATCTTCAGTATTTTCAGACAGTTAGTGTTTTCATTACTTCATTAGAGGCTTCATAGACTAGAGTAACAGTTAGACAGAGTCGCAGGCTTTTCATATTAAGCTATGTTGGCTACAAATATGTTTCAGAATTGTATTAGCGTTTCTGCACTTTGATTTATATCATCCAGACTTTCATATACCAACATGTGTTAGTTTATCTTCTGCATTCAATATGTTATGATATCACATGTTGATTCAGCCAGCCAGTTGGTTCGCTCGGTCATATGTAGTCAGGCACCGAGTGTCGTGTTACGTCCAAGCCCAGATTCGGAGTGTGACAAAGCTTGGTGTCAGAGCACTAGGTTCAAGAGTCCTAAGGAGTCTATGAAGCTGTGTCTAGTGGAGTTTCCTTTATATGTGTGTGCCGGCCACTCATATAAACGGTTAACTACCAAGACATCTAGGATTGTCTCATTTCTTTCTACTCTACATCGTGCCATGAAGCTTAGAGCAATAGTTAACATTCTCTTCCTATCGAATTTCAAACATAGTGGATGCCCAAGCGACACACAGGAGAAACCTAAGTTCCTAGAGAGGGTAATTGACCATTGGGTAATTATGGAGTATAGATTGGTAAATATGAGACATAAGATGATGTTAAAAGTGGGATGCAATGGGTAGTAGTACATATTAGAGCATAATCTTATCAAAAAGTAAAAAAAAGGCAGTTATCATGTTCTATGGTTATGAGTTTACCTTAATTACCAGTTATACAATCTTTCAGTTAGCAAGTTTATGGTTATTTAGGATGCCGGTTATTAGTTATTCAGTTACCATATCTCTAATTTTCAGTGTATAAAAATTCTGGTTACTTGTGGGTATACAGTAATGCCTATGGGTGCTAAAAGAAAATGTAAGAAACAGTGATTGTAACGAAATCTTCGTATATTTTAGGTCTGGATTAAGACCAAAATTCACCGGATGGCGCAGGAAGTGATTTATCAGATGATGGTATACTTTGAAGGATAAGTTTGTGCATAGTAGTGTATTCATATGTGTTTTATCTCCTAGAACAACTTCATTTAATTTCTGGAAATTGAGCCACAAGTTGGATGATGATAGTTCAGATGTCAGGCCCTAACATTGGTCACTATAGTTTTGGACAGAAAAGAGCCTAAGGTTAAAATACCTAGGAGTTCGAAACGTTTGATATTACCAAAGATGTGATTTCATACAATTCATGCAAATATAGTGAATTTCAAGCATCGATTTTAAGTTGTTCATATTTACTCAAATCAGAACTAGAAGTACCACGTTAGTAAGTTACTATAAGAAGCAACTACTGATATAAGATAAAAGATATGGCAGTTTCCCCTTAGGTTATGTGACTAAGTGATTACCACAAATGTTTATAGTATGATGTGATTTTGTATTATATAGAAAGTTTGGGGGTTAGATATTCTAATTTTGTTTAAGATAGATGAACTTTCCCTAAGTGTGATCCATGTACATGGTCCAAAAAAAAAACAATAAGTATGCGACCGTAGAACAGGGTCGGATGGTGAGGGAAGTTAGAAATAACCTTATGCCTCACTTTAATTATCCAAAGTAGAACAAGAAAACGTGATTCTAGCAGGTGTTTAGTAAAAGAATAATAAGTAAGTTTTGAGTTGATAAAATGAATTAGCAATTTCAATAGAGCTAGTAGAGGTACAATTTGATTCATTTAGCCAGGTTAACTCTAGTGAGTGGATAACAGTTTGAAATACCGAATGTGTGTTAGAACCCAAAGAGTTTAAGTTAAATCCGAAGTACAGTGATAGTGGGAAAAACAACCATCTAGCAGTAAAAGAGCAAACTATAGAAGAATAGCCTTTAGGAATTATCGAAATGTAGTTTCTCCAAGATTGATAGTGTAAGCAGAGTTAAATTATTAAGATTGTGTATGATAGTTGTGAATACATTAGCTTTCCGTTATGTGAATAATATAGTTTTTCCTAACTCAGAAGTAAGTAGGAAGATGAGTCGTCATTGATGTAGAGTGCAACAAATTGCAGAGAACAAGGAAAGTTATTTGGATCCCAACAAAAAGAGAAGGATCCACAAATATAAGACCTTTGGTTTAAGGGGTGATGTGAAATTTTTTAGTAAGTCCAGTTAGAGATTTGAAACCCGAATAGTAGCATGGGATACAAAAAAGAAAAATATGTTCGGTAATGAGGGAAAATGTGTATAATTACCACAAGGATTATGTATAGCATGTATAAGAAACACAAAGTGAGTAGAATGATCACCGATCTTAGTTATTGATGATAAAGTGATCACAGAAAAGCTATTGTATATGGGCGAAATCAGAAAGCCCAATTTCGCGGTCATTATGTCTTTTCCATAGCTTCACCTCGAAAGGCCTCGAAGGCCCGGGGGCACAGTTCGAGGTTTTGACCTCGAGGGTTCTTTATACCCGACCTCTGGGCAGCACGAGTTGGTGGTTGTCATGGATAAATGGGAAGTTACCTAGGCACATGGTCCAAACTGACAACACCTACAAGAATAGTACCAGTCTGTACCAGACTGCTAAGTAGCTGTACCAGCTACATTTCTTTATAATAAATGCACATGTACTATGTTGGGATTCCCTCCTCCTATATAAAGGGGACCTTTACTATTTTTTGCACACATGATATTACACGAGATACAACATCACGTACAACATTCAATACAAGAACAAAAATATTCTCTGCTCTCTAACACATTCTCCCTTGATTTTATTATTTACATTTATTGCTTGCATTTACTGTGTTCTATTAATTGTTCTTCATTTATTGCTCATTATTGATCATAAAGAGCCCTCATCAAAGCTCTCAAAGTTGTTAGACCTTCATCGGCCAGTCATAGCTTAGAACCTTGATCAACCCCGAGGCCTCATATTAGGGGTTGGCATCGCTCGATTGGGTTCAGTTATGAATCTTATCGGTTTTGCCTATCGGTTATCAATTTACAAATATCATAACCCGATAACCAAAATGATAAGATATTGGTTATCGGTTATCGGTTAATCGGTTATCAATCATTGTCGGTTCGGTTATCGCTTTACCCGATTAGATAAAACAACTAAAACAGTTTCGCAATGTAAAAAACTGTTTCGCAATGTATAAAACAGTTTCGGTAAAAACAATGTTCTTAAGATCTTCTTTGTTCAAATGACTAGCAGTAACTCTTTGTACATTGATATCTACTTTTTTACTCTAAGACAGAATTATGTATATAGATTAAAAAGTTTATTAGTTATGAAATACAAATTTTATAACAACTAATACAAGATAACTTTGTAATAGCTCAACAATTAAAGCACACGACAAATCTCACTTCAACTTTCAAACAAACTAAGAAAAATCCAGAGCTAGAATGCTTTCAAACAAACTAAGAAAAAAATGAAGATGAAGCAACTAAAAACTTACACGAAGAATCAAGATGAAGCTGAAAAATGCGGCTGAGAAATGCGCCTGAAGAGTGAAGTGAAGATGCGACTGAATCTGATGGATCTGAGAAATGAAGTGAAGATGCGATTGAAGAGTGAAATAGAGAAGTTGAGAAATGCGACTGACGCCGGCTTGAGTCTTGA